TAAAAGCAGAAAATAACTATGCAAATAAAATAGGGTGCTGCATCTGCCTGGGTACCTAGACAAAAGGCTAAAAGGATTTTTCCATTGGATTTTGGATTATTGCAGAAAACGATGTCTGTGGCAAATAAATGGAGGCGTATGTTATAATGTAGAACAAAAGGTTTAAATATCTTTGTATTAACCACAGAACTTGTTCCAGGCCTCTAACCAAAACCCATTCAAAAAACCCAATTGACTTCGAGACGAAGGAACCGGATTTGCAAAAATGCTGACTCAACTCTGGGTTTTAGGAATCATCCGTTATATGTCACTCAAAACTGCTGCTCCCCCTCTGCCAGTAATTAGTCTAAAATGTTGAGATCAAGTAGGAAAATAAATTGGTTTGTGTGAAACACAGTGTTGTCTTTTCCTGGTTTTAGAGGCTATATTACAGTGAGGTGATGTCATTTACTGAACTTACCAAACTGTTCTAGCTGTTGTATTATTTGCCTTTACTCACTGAGTCAATATATCCACATTACCGATGATTATCTTTCAAAAATCACATTTTGCAAATATTTTGCGGGAGCCGCGAGGTTATTTGGTAAAAAAAATTGTTTTCTCCTTATTACCCTGAAGGTATATTTATTATTTAAAATCATTTTGCATGACATTTAGAAAAAAAATGTCTAACATATCTTAGCATTTAACTGTGTCATTCAGTTTTTTTAACTGTTTAGGAATTCAAAGAATTTGTATCATACCCAACATCCATAAGAGCTGAGCTCACACAGTGTTGCGCCGTGTAACACCACGCGTGATCATAATCAGCTATACGTGCACCGGGAGGATGCAGGCTGTGTTTGGTGCCGTGGACTTTGCTTTTACAGAGAGGATTATTATATTTTGTGTGTGGAAGGGGCCTGGTGGAAGGGTGTTGCACATTAGTGTGTGTCACACAGACATAAATCCTCATCTAATCTACCTTAAATGACGTTGGCTGTAAAACCACTGAGATGTCACCAAACCCCCCCCCCCCCCCTCTCTCTCTCTCTCTCTCTCTCTCTCAGAAAACACTGTTTCTAAACACCTCTAGATCTCACATCACGGGGAACTTGACACCAGCTACCTGCCAGAGACTAATCCAAACTGTTGGGCTTGTTTACTATGTCAAATCAGGCAGGAGGCACATGCTCATAAATAGGGTTGTTAACTATAGAGCTAAAGTAGTGTTTGCAAGACTTTTTTTGGAATCACATTCACAAACACTTCACCTAAATGTAGCCCGGTGCATGTACCCGCGTGTGCGTCTGTGATTCAATCCATCTGAATGGATCACAGCACAGGTATTCCTGTAAGGCAGGTCCTCCCAGAATGATCAGAGATGTCAGTGACTCAGGCACCTGCAACACCCGAGTTGTTTACGAGTGACTTAATTAAGCAGAGCCAGGAGGGTAATTCTAAAGCCACCTATCCACTTTTTAGTTAGCTACCACAGCTAATTCCAACAGATACTGTAAACATAAGACAAAGCACCACACCAAACAGCCAGTCTCATAGCGGACATATTTTGGAAAGTACTAGTTTGTATCATCATCATTGCAGATATGACAGGGAAATCCACCGTCAGATTAAATTAATTATCATTGTTTCTGGGGAATCTGGCGACCACTTCACAAAGCATTCTTGATCACAAAACATTTCACAGGCAGACAAACTTCTCTCACACAAAAAAAAGAAAATACAAGCCATGTTGTATATGTTGTTGCTAGGCTATAATGATTGTTAAACTAAGACGATGGGGAAGACAAAAGAAAAGAGGAATTTATTGAAGGAAACGTTACTTGGCTGTCTTTGGCTTTGTTTACATGTTGAAGTGGAGGAGCTATCATCGACAAAGTTTTCTATATTCACTTCACGCCGTGTGTTAAGATTGCTAAATTAACAATGCACTTGAATTCAGATGTAATCTTGAACCCAGAGCCATAACTGACTGGACCCATACAACCTAACGCTAGCTAGCTGAGCCCAGCTGGTCCTTCCTGGGGCAATATTCTCAGCATTAGCAACACAGTCGAACTGTTGCCTTAACGCGTTTCATTGTTTTTGACGTTTGTAACGTTATGACAAGCTGCCGACCCGTCCGGTGCAGCCGGGCAGCTCCTTGGCTAATGACGCGTTAGCTTGTGGTTAATGCAGTTATTAAGCTAACCGCTAAATATCACAACGTTAGCACTGAGGTTAGCTAGCAAGCTAATGACAGCAGGCCGCACCCTTTAACTTCTCCTTCTTCAAACTGTGAAAACAAGTCGCTCAGCGGTCGTTAAATACCTTAACGTCCTCGATAAAGCATGTGGTTTCATCTTTGCTCCAGTTCTCCAGGAGTTGCAGTCCTTTTGTCGTGTCAGACATGGGCATTGCTAGCATCCTCTGTTGAATATTTACCTGGCAGGCGACCAGTTAACATCTCTTCCTAGTCTGTCGCGAGCAGTCACAAAGTTGACCAATAGGAAGAGATGGCGAGTTAGAGACGGACCAATCAGAGGGCGTCGTGAGCGAGGCCACACACACACAGCTGACAGACAGTTTAAACAACCTATGAACGTTAATGTTTTCATAGTAGTGGGATTTGAGCAGCGCTGTTTTGATGCTGTACAGTTTTATTGAACCCATCGCAGGATCAACAGGATTCACACATTTTTAATTATCTGTTTATGAAAGTTTTTTTCAGTATTTAAAATGCAAGCAATATAAAAATGGATACAAACAAATAATGTAGACCTTATACTGTTAAACAAATGTATACACACACATTCTACACTTAAGAAAATGTATTTTTAAAACCCTGAACAGAGCAAAGAAATGAAGGTGGTTTTCCTGCGATCATTTTGAAATAGAGAGTGTAATGAATATTTGTGAATGTTGGTTTTGTAAATAGTTTAAACTTACCTTGACAATAGTCTTTGGTTAGATACATGCAAAGAGTAGTATTCCACAAGAGTGAGACTATTTGCTTGTATGCTGATGTTCATTAGGTTTAATAACCATGTTTACCATCTTAGTTTAGCGTGTTAGCGTGCTAACATTTGCTGATTCCTACACATGTAAGTTAAGGCTGATGTAAGTGTTGGACAATGCAAATTCTGAACTGATCATAGCTTTAGATGAAAAGTCAGAGAATCAAATAAGTTAGAATTAATCCTGAGGGGGGTAAGAATATTTGTGCCAAATTTCCCCGCAATCTGTCCAACAGTTGTTGAGACATTTCACTCAAAACCACAAACGTCAACCTCATGGTGGAGCTACAAGAAATGTTGAGGGATCACTCATTAGGATCCATCCTCTGGGAACCATGATGTTCAAAAGGGTGTGCCAATCCATCTAGTGGATGTTCAGATGTTTCACAAGATGAGTGACAACATTGACATCTATTCTCATCTGCTCTTAAAAACAATCTTGTGTCAAAGCAGCAGAAACAGTTACGGTTACAACATCAACTTCTGTTTTATCTCTAAGAATTGCCAGAGCTCTAGGGTACTATTTCATGTAGGATCCTGTTGTCATGCCCTCCCTCCAGTCACAACAACAAAGAACATGGAGGAGTCGTTTTACTGAAAAGGTGCCAAACATCAGGCTCAAAGCTTTTACCTGCCAATCAAGTCGTCCCCTCAAGACCGACCTATTTTGGCAGTGGCTTTAAAAGAAACCACATCTCACATGAATTCTTTTTTCCTGTTTTGTGAAGTAAATTCCTGACGGAGGTCCCTGATACAGTCGCTATACAGATATCCTATTAGTAATTAACAGCTCCTTCACTTATTTGGCTCATTCCCCCTCCTGTTTTAAATATGCAACAGTTCAAGGTCCTCGAGAGGACAACTAATTTGAATTTTCTAGCTTGAGGCAATTATAGACAGACTAAGATCTTCAAGCTGCCTTTGTTTCATCCAGTGGCTTAGAGAAAGCAGCTTCCTCACAGATATCATTAACCACATCTTATTTTAGATTATTGCAGAAAATAAGCTCTCTGGCAAACAAATGTTCATAATACTGAAGACGTTTTGTCCAGCGAGATCGTCTTCACAAATGGACACCACTTTTATGATTTTTGAAGCGTAAATGTCATCAAGAAGTCAAAAGCTAACGTTAGGCTATAAATGAACTTTGGTCACTTGTTGGCTATCGTCTTTTATAAGACACGTAAAAGCTTAAAAATTCACGAGAGGGGTACTTACTGAGGTATCGTAGAACAAAATGTTAAAATCTCTTAGGCTTGTGTTAACCAAAGACCTCATTTCAGGCATCTAACCCAAAAACTTCATTGACCTCGAGACGGGAGAAATGAAACTGCATAAATCCTGACTCATTTCTGGGTTTGAGGACTCATTCCCGCATCACTCTCGGCTGCTTTCAATACACACCGCACACCTCCACATGATCTCAACAGGACATCTTCATCCACCGTGACTCACGCAACACTTTGCCAGATGTTGAAACATCAAGACATGGTGTAGTGAATGTTGAAAAACCTCCTGCAGTAAAAAAGAAAAATATAGAGCACATTTGGCACAATCTGTTCCATTAACCTTGTTGATTAACATCTTGGTTGTTGGTCAGCCAACATTGAGCTTGCCAGAAAACAATTGGAGAGTGATGTTTGAGTAAGATGGATTTCAGCATATTGATAAAAAAAAAAAATCCTGATTATAACTAACAACTACTGAGGAAACTATCCAGCATGTGGTGGCGGGAAAGGTGTGGTATTAGTATCTCTGTCTCTCTAAGCGGGAGCATACATGTCCTGAATTCAAAATCACATGTAAATGTAGAGAAAATGGCAGACCATTATCACCTCACCGTACTACACTGCCAAAAAACAATTTGCACCTTTGGAAGCAATACATATAGCATATCAACTAGATCGCTTGACTTTAAGCCCACCAGTACGGACAGATAATCCTAACAGCCAGTACGTGGGTCTGTCCTGAGGAAAAACAAAGAAAGAATCAAATGCAAATCCATCTTATGCACAGCTGGCCGAACGCATTTAATAATGACACTCACTGTCAGCTACACAGTCAGATGTGCTTTGTTAGGAAGGATTGTGATGAGACTTCGATGGCCGTTCTCTTTTACTTCAATGAAATCTTTGTGATTACTTACAATCTTTTTGTAATGTCACTTGATCAGCATTATTCACAATCAGTGCACAGGCTCATTCATTAACTTCTTAAAGAAATAATAACAAAAACAAAAAAACAGGCCATTCACAAGTTCAAAGGTTTTGAGGTTATTGTATAACACAGGCAACAAAGACACCGATAACTCGTGTTTTAATAAATATGATTTCTAAAATAAATTGCAAATGTCCTGGTGGGCACCGATTTCAACGCCATAAATGAATACAGAAGGCATAGCACACATGAATAATTATTCTGGCTATCTTAAAACATTAAACTCACATTATGCTTGCAGTTGATCAAGGCAATGTATCAGAATTTTAATTCTGATGGCTCATAATAGCTGTAACAATCAGTCTTTGAAATCATGCCTTGAATTTATCAAGACAAAGAAAAAAAAAGGCAAAAAACGTGTTTGTGTTCTTTTCATTTCAACAAAGCAGAAACAAACATTCAGGCTAATGGTTGCCATGCATTGATGTAACAACAGAACAAACCAAAGACAATACGACATCTGTTTCCAGTAGCCGTGCAGCGTGTAAAAAGAGCAGGCGTCAGAAGCTCATGAGCATGTCTCGCTCCTGCATGCTGGTGTAGAACGGCTTCCCGAACACGAACGAGTGCAGCCCCGCCCTCAGCTTCTCTGCGAAGGCCATGACGATGTTCAGGTCCCCCTCCACCGTCAGATCCAGGTCCGTCTTTAGGTTGCGCAGGGATCGGAAGGGCTTCTTCCCTTTTTGCCTGTGGAGAGCGGAGAGGGGAGACCGTGGTAGTGTAGCTGCTAACGGCCTACAACGCTCGGGGTCAGAAGGATTTGCATTTAGCATCTAGTCGGGGCCGCAGCTGGTGCACGGGAGCGCTGTGGCCACGATGAATTATGTATGGCGCTATGCTGAGCATAAACAATGTTGTCGAGGAACCTGTATGATAGCGCGCCCTTCGACCTCAGGCTGTTAGCGGCACCATAAACAAGAGCGCTTTCATCCTCTCATGCCAGCACCTAGTAAATACTGGGTTTGCACGTGTGGTTGGTGTCGCCTCTGGAGCAGACATGTTCACACACCAACTATGAACTCAAAATCACTGAAATATTTAGTCAGGGGGGAAACAAAGAAGGGAAGACGTGTATTATAATTGATATATATATAGATAGATAGATAGATAGATAGATATATTAATAAATGACTGCACATTGAAATTTTAATTTAAAAAATTTAAATAAAAAAGGATTAGAAGAATTGTGTATTTTCTTTTTGTGCCGTCATGGTTCCCAGTAGAGTTCAAACATGTGTAACCATAGTATAATTTACCCCCCCTACGTTACACATTTGATCCACTGTAAGTGTAAAATATTCAACAGTGCAGCTCTAACATTATTCATATGGTGCCACGGTACGTGCGTACGGTTTGGAAACACCATGTGACAGAAACTAATGGAGCCATAGTGTGTGTATTTCTTAGTGTTTGCATTTACTGATGCAACAATGCGGCCACTTTTAGTAACCCCAGTGTAACATGTACTGCTGTGTCACCTCCTTTGTACTGCAGTGTTCCAATACGTTGTACTTTGAGTGTTAATGGTCTCAAAATCTGAAGTAAGACGCGCCGGGAGCAGAAGTTACAAATAGTCCTGACTGCTTACGCACTTGTTGACGCATTTGCTCTGGTATCCTCACTCTTCCATTAACGGGAGAAAGAGCCAAATCGTGCAGAAGGGGAAGAAACTAAAACGGGGAGCGACTGCTGCCCTGAAGGAGTGGGAAGGTCAGTCCACTGTTGGGGAGGCACAGACGGAGATGAGTCGAGCCCAGATGGAGCGATGACCAGGTCACGGTGGGGACAGCAGCGTGGAAAGAATTTCGAGGAGCTGAGGACGCGGTGAGCCACAAGTGTCTCAGAGGAATGGTCGGGGCTTAAAGGGATAAGCTGGATGTTTTTAAGTGGTACTTGTCCAAAGTCGGTGTATTACCTACAGTAGATGGCGGTTGGCACTCCCCCAGTTTGGAGAAAACTGGTGCTGGACCAGCACCAGTTTTTTATATTGTTTATCTCTGGTACAAGGCACTCCACACTGGGGGGGGCGTGCCAGCTACTGTAATGAATACACTCACGGTGGATAAGTACCTCATACAACCTCACTTAAAAAAAACAAATCCAAACTATCCCTTTAAGAAGGGGCGTTGAGAGCCGTGCCAGAAAGTGGTTACTGTAACCGTGACTGTAGCGTGACTAGATACGATTATTATAAGGGTGTAAATCCCTACTCCTGGTTTCTATTTTGTTTTATCATGAAGTGAATGCATTAAAGCAAAGACTGGCGCAAGGCCATCAAAATACACCAGGTCACCTTGACACCTGGCATACAGTCACATTTCTGCACCTCAGCGGGGGAGTTAGCGTGTCTTGTCAGTGATCAAATGCCGATCATAAAAACATCATTTAGAGCTTTGATGATGATGAGGGTATCTCAGATGTTGTGGTTGTGTGTGCGCGGTGCATCATTTTCCTGCCCGGCACGTTTTTATTTTCCTCCCCAAAAACACGTGCTGTGTAGATGGAGGGAGCTGTCAGTCTGGGACGACGGTGAGGATTCATCGCCCCGCGCGGCTCGACGCGCAGCCGCTTGGTCACAGCTTCTCCCCGACACCAATCACCATCATAAAGCAGTCCTGTGAGCGTGACTCGCCATCAAACGGGACACATTTTGTCGGTGTCGTTAAAAAGGCATCCTTTGGCATACACAAGCGAAGAAGTCATTATTGATTAATCTACTGTTAAAATGTGAAAAGACTTCCCATCAGAAGTTCTTCCCATTGCTTGTTTTATCCGACCAAAAGTCGTGCATCATCATCGTCTATAATATTAGACAAAAAAATGAATAGTTGTTTAATGAGCACGAGGGCCCTCAACCAATAAAGGTCTGAGATGTTTCTGTTACTATTGAATTAGTCCCACATAGCCAGACCAGATCTCTGCAGCGCTGTGAGAAAAAAAAAAAAAAAAACACTCTGCCTTGTTCGTATTTTACATTTTTTCTAAACCAATCACAATCTTCGTGGGCGGGGCTCAGCACATTGAAGCAGCGACAACGGTGCAAAGCTGGCGAAAGAGGAGAAGGCCACGTGAAATACGCAGCCAAAAAGCACATCTGGTGAGTCAGACTCCCATCAAATCTCGACTTAAGTACAAACCCTTCACCACAAACATCAATATGTTGTGGCTTTCCCCTTTTGAAGGGCAGAAATGGAGGAAGGTAATATCAAGACGCCTCCTAACCTCACCCCTGCTCGTGTGTTTAACTCAAAGCGTGTTGGAACACGGCTGCTATTCTGGTGTTACAGAGAAACATACGGAGATCATGACTGTAGATGTGCCGGTTGCTATTGGTTATTCATTTAGAAACATTGTAATTTCTACATCTTTCCAGCCTCATATAGTTGTCGCCAGCTCAGCAACAGCATAATAGAACAAGGCGCATCACCAGAGGACGATGTAATGTAATCTTGCCATTCGCTATGCCCCGGTTCCTATCATCGGACTCCATCAACACTCAGCAGCTACGGTTCCTCAGTCACTGTGTTTGTGCATATCCATAAAGTCAACTGCATCACAGTCATACCTGCACAGGGTGAAGGATGACTCAGCTGATCTTATGATTTGTTTTTTCCTCTACCGCTCAGCAGTATAGTGCCTTTGTTCTTTGTACTACTTCTGCAAAAAAGTCTGATCATAAATTCAACTCTTTCTTCCTTGCATCCACAACATTGTTTGGTTTTGAACACAACTACCTAGTGGTGATTGAGACTGCTTTAACCTGGACCCTCACCCCGGGACTAAAGACGGTTTCTCAATTGGAGTCGACGTCGTCAGTTCCCTATCGTTCCGCGTTTGGTCATTTGTCCCCTTGAGCTTGCCGTACCTCCCCCCCGACAGGACTATATATTTTGACTCCAAACTTGTGAAAGTGTGATGCATCGGGGGCCGCAGACTACAAGGCTTTAGGGTGTTTAGGAGGTCAGCGGCTGCAGCGCAAAGTCAATGCACAAACAATAGCGCACAGCAAGTGTATTAGCAGCTCTGCTATTTAGATTTGGGAATTTGTTTTTCCTCTGTGGATATGGAGGGGTGTGTGTGTGTGCGTGTGTGTGTCGTGGTCTTCCTGCCAAACAAGTATCCTTTTTGTTATTGCGATTAAAGTGTTATTGGCGGCAGCTCTTACGTGTCGTCCTCGATGTACTTGAGCAGCGTGAGGGCCTTCCTGTGGAGCAGCAGCAGGAATTGGGCCAGGTAGGTGCTCCGCAGGGACAGGCCGGGCTTCAGCATGAACACCTGGGTACGACACAGGACGTCCATTAGTAGTCTGGAATAACAGCTCTAATGTCCCTCCTTTGTGCCGACCTTCCGAGAGGAACACACTGCCGTTGTCTTGAGAGGAACTTGTAACTCTGGGAGCACCTGCATACGAACGGCTGACGGGTCGAGACCCCGTGGGAACACATTGTACCGTTGTGTTTCAGGGTGCTCTAGAGACTGCATCAGTGAGGTTTGGGGCGCATCGTTCAAGTATTTGCTGCAGCCTGATAGAAGGACCGCTCTGTGTTCAAACTATGAGAATGCATCTGCCACTTTCAACTACACGTTATTATACAGCGCAGTAAAAAAAAACAAGGTTGGTCATAGACGGCAATGGGGAGCCAAAAATAATAAATCTAACACTTCTACTTGTTGATTTCACAGTTGAATCCTCACTCAGAGCTAATAAACTGCTTTATTTGAAAGCTGTTTCTTTCACAGTAAATTATTTTCAAACCTAATATAGCCGCAAACACAATTTGTAATAGAAATGGATATAAACAATGGTATATAAATACAATAGGCAACAAAATAACTTAGCTTTTCCACCATGTTCTTGCCTCAGTAAATTTGGTTCATTATCATTTTTACTAAGTCGGACTTTTTAAGGGTTCATCAGCTGACCAAAAAGGGAACCAGAACAGGTGTATTTCTGGTATGCCATTTTAAACTTGTGCAATAAGAAGCAGGTGCTTGTAACTGGATTTAACAATACTGAGATATGTGCCATCTAATTTGCCTCAACTTGGTGTGGAAGAGCATTCAGTTGATCTCCATGGAAGCCCTGAGAGGTATTCTGCTCCTCTTTAGAACAGAGGGGAGTCGTGCACTTCAGCCTCTTGTGGCCAATATTGACAAGAAAGGACACAAACCTTTTTTTTTTTTTTTTTTTTTTTTTTACCAGATGAAAACCAATAACGTAATAAATTGTTTGTTCTCCTGTTCTTCAGTCATAAGCACAGAAGAGAAAAACAATTCCGATCAGAGTAAAAAAATGGATAAGCAGATATTTCTTCTCTCACTTTCCATAAAAAGCTATATTATTGTCAATGTTAAATGAGTACATTTAAGCACTGTCTAATCTTCATATATTCCTAACTAACATATTCCTATTGTGGGTTATGAGCACCAAAACCTGCTGTTTGATTTCAATGGTAAATAAAGCTTTTATCAAAAGTGCTTCACAACTTCTCTAAACGATGACGAGAATGATACAAATGGTTGCCGTTATGTTCTTTATTACGTTCCTACGTCACTATTTTTGTCAATATGTGTAAGGGTTTACATTTTCTTGTCTCGTTTCTTCTGACTCGGTTAAGCGTTTAAAAAACAAAAATTTAAATACTATGGAAGAAAAAAAAAGGTGCTGCTGTATTCTTACCTCGTCTATAAACGACTTCACCAAAGTGTCTTTATGCATGACGTCTTGAAATATATTCCTAAAAAAAAAGAAAATACATTGTGGTTATGATATGACATGCAATTTTTTACATGTTGTTTTTCTTTAAATATGGTGTAAAAAAATGCAAACAAAATAGTGTATTGAAAAAAATGCAGAGCCGTGGCTCACAGGTCGGGCGTGAAGCTCTCGTCGGTGTGAATGACCGTGTCGGGGGGGATGTCCTCCTCGCTGTCCGTCTTCCAGAGGGCGCTCAGCTCGGAGCGCATGTAGCGCCGCTGGTTGTACGTGTGCTCGTGGCACGGTGGCATCTGCTTCACCGTGTTGATGTCCACGTCGATGTGCGTGGTCGGGTACGGGGAGTAGAGCACCTGGCGGAAGGGCAGGACGAAGCTGCCCGTGGAGTCCTGTGAATCAAAAGATAAGAAAGGAAAACAACAACAATAGGAAAGATTTATCAAAGCTTCTTTGCACGCATCTGCCGTGGATATACTCACATAGGAATGGTGAAGCTACCTTGATGTTTATTCTTTGTTCACGTATTGTGTTTGTTTTTTTACATGCAAGTCAGAAGGTCTAAGAAATAATTTCACTATTTTTGCGAGCACGCGGCTTCCAACTTCTTGTTCTTTCTCCCTGGGCCACTTTCTCTTGTTCCCCGCTGCATCTTATGTTGAAATCTATAAGACGGTCCTGCAGGAGCTCCGCTACACAGCCGACGTGCACCATACTGACTCTTAGGCCCTGTCCACATTACTCCGTTTTTACTTGGATGCAGAGTTGTCAAATAGAAACGATCTCCGTCCACACCGGAGTTTCAGCATCATTCTCGAGTTGATCTGCATCCACATGGCAGCCTTCGAAGGCAGACAGCACGTGACCATTAACGTACACTGGGCATGCGGGTGACGGTGTAAACAGGAAGTGGATTGCTTGCTTAGTTAAAAAATAATAATAATATGACAGAGCAATAAAGTAGTCTTTAATAATGAAAGGTTGTATTTGATACTTAAGACCTCCCTCTATAAACTCAAACAGACACAGTTCGTAGAAAGTTTTATTTTTCAGACGTAGTTACAGCGCTGCGGGTCTATCTCTCTCTCACATCAAATTTACTTTAACATCAACACTTACACGTAAACGTTTACCAGCTTATGGGTCCACCAATGTGGTCAACACACGTCTCTCACTCGTTTCCTCCGTGTATTGATGTCTGTTCTCACTAGTAGCTCTGAACATCATGTCCGCCTAGCTAGCTTCTAAGCTAATTTTAACATTACCGCCAATGGAGAAATGCTAACCGCGATTAGCATTTAATACAACACAAATGTTATACTAAACAGAAGCGAATAGAATATATCTACGTACATCTTTTCATGCTTCATAAATACATACTTACAGACTAAGGTCTCTCAATGCTACCAAACTGAAGAAGTAAAACATTAGTGCAGCATGTCTTCTCATTAGAATCTAAAAACAACGAGCTGCTCCATAGGGCTGATGCTGGTCACGCCGCTCGCTAATCACTCCAATAACAGCTGCTTCCTCCACAGAAATGCAGACTTTTACTTTCACATCATGTGGCTGTTGTGCTAGCAGCAACATCATGTGGCTGTTGTGCTAGCAGCAACGCTTGCAATTAGTTATCCATGTTGAAATGAATCGCTGGTAGCCCAGTTTGTTTTCTTCCGGGTACGGGTCACGTGATAGTGAGTGTGACGAATCAGGGACGGAGACGTCATGGTTGCCAAGAACCAATCCAGTAGCGAACACGGGTGTGGGCATAATTTTTTCTAAGCACATCCGTATCCGACCGTCCACACGCAAACGCAACCCCGGAGTTCTCAAACACCTCCAACCTCGGGGGAGTTTTCAGACTCCTCCGTTTAGGGTGCTCCAAAACTCCAGCGTAGTGTGGCCGCTCAGTGTAAACGTAGCAAATACGGAGTAAAAACGGAGTAGTGTGGACATGCCTTTAATGACTGAACTAACAAGCACCACCAGGTGTTCTGCTGCTGCCTCTTGTTCTCTTCCTGTTGAGACCACACGACTCGCAAAGCAGCAGCAAATAAGAAGTGATTGTAACTTTGAGAACTGTGAGTAGAATTCACCAACAACAAAAACAAACATTGGTATCGCTTGCTTAGCCTTAACTTGAACAATGCAGTTAGATAATTAAAATGTAATTGAAACAGATCTGAATCGAATGCAGTGCAGTAATACAAATATATTGTCGCAACTATTCATACAAAAAAGAAATGAGGTCGTAACAACATCAAACGAGCAGGCAGAACAGAACAATAAGCTCCTATTCAAATGGCACCGTGCGGTATAATGAGAGGGGAACTGGCGGCTACCTTGAGCAGACCCTGAACAAACAGGCCCGTGTCATATTTGAAAGAAGAGTCAGCCTTGCAGAGGCGGGAGCACTTCCTCTCAGCCGGGGTGAGGAAGAGGCACAGAGTCCGCACAATCTGCAAAAAAAAAAAACCCAGAGTCAGATTTCAACACTTCAGAAAATAACGGGCTTTGATTTGCTTTCAACTGCTTCCCGGTTGATGGAAAACAGCTTAAACGTGACATCGTTGCAACTATTTGCCATTAGAAGGCGTGTGCAAACCTTATGCAACCACGCTGTACTAGGTTTACTATTTCAACACGGACAGAAAATAAATTACTTTTTGTTTTCAGCTTAATCTCCCTGCTTAAGACCAGGCCAGCACATTTATTCAAGGAGCTACATCTCAGCACAAAATTGACTAAAGCAGCCACATTTTGGTAATGGACCTTAATGTGACATTAAGCTTGAGGCTTGTTGTTAAGACACAAATAAAATTTACGATCTAATTGGGTGCTGAGTTCGGGCCTCAAGTCAACAAAACTACAAATTACGGCGGTGCAGCCCTTTGATATTCATCGGGCAAAGCGTTAGCGGCTGTTTTCCTGCTGTAGATCTCTTAAACAAACAGCGTACGCAGGATAACTTTTCTTCGTTGCATTCCCATATGTGCCCATTTGGAGAAGCTGATAAGCTTCCTCGTGTTACTTCTGTTTGGAAACTGCCAAAGCCCAGACAGACATTCAAAGCGTCGGCTCGAGCAGAAACAGAGACACGGGGGGCTCATTAAAGCTCCAAAACAACACACTTCAAAACATTCTAAATTATGTAGATGCATTACAAATATGTTTGTAATACGGAGCGTTTACCTTGTTTACTTTCTCTGGGTTGCTCCCGACCACAATCGAACAGCCGCAAGTCTGCAGATGAGAGCTGATGGCCCTGAACCACGGAGACAAAGACATGCAAATTAGAACCAATTACAACCAATTAGCGCTGCTCTGATCGTCAACGACAGCTTTTAGGAATAATGATTGAGGCGGAGGGAGGAGGACATGAGGCTTTATGTAGAGGGGCCAGTGGAGAGTTACATCTGCCTAGTAATAATCACATTTACAGTTTTAATCATGTAGTTTGGTTCATTTTCTGACCTTTTCAATATATTCTGAGGGAAATAAGTCAATTTCATGACCTTCTGTAATCATTTGATGGTCACGAAAAATAACCGTTTGGTTTTAAGCTAAATCTTACATTGGCTCAAACGTACAGCTAGCCCGTACGGAAGCACTGAGAGGAAAGGAAAAAGAAAATTCTATAAAAAAAACATTTTCAAGGTGGTTGTTGTAGTAAAACTAATTTCGGCCACAAGTGGCTGAATGTTCTAAGTAGACTAAAAGCGGACTTGTTTTCATCGAGCCGAGTTTTACACAAATTACAGATATTGCCTGTAGAATTTTAATCCGTGCTAATTTGCCGTTATCATCAATACTTTTAGCCCTATTTAACACATGGGGTAGTGGTGCACTTCAGCCATTTGTGGCTGAAACGAGTATTACAACAACACACAAAAACTAACTGCCAGAAGCTACTTTTTACAGATGGAAAGAAGGTAATTAAATCATTCTGGCAAAACATTTCATTTTTACACAAATTATTAATCTTTTTAGGAATTCAGAATAATTATTCTGGCAAAATCCGTTCCTGATCTTAAGTCATAAAGTCAAGAGAGAAAAGCTTTTTCTTTCCTTACTTCCCTCTCAGGGCTTCCGTAAGTCTGTTATTCTCTCACTAAAAAGCTCCATCAGCTAAAAATCTCCTTCAGATCCAAGTAACTAAATTACAGTGCACAGATGCTTTGTCATCACCACAGGATGCTGAACTAATCCTGCTCAACACCTGAGCAATCAGGAGCTCCGGAATGGACTTTCTGGGCCCTCAACACTGACGGCCATTTTAGCTTTGGTCCTTTCTCAGGAGGAAACTTGGTCTAAGTGGCGAGCCATTAGTCATCATTGGAAGCTTGATGGGCGTTAAACGGGCGATGTTCATCATCCGTCTTCCCTTTGCCTGTACCGGAGAGCACTTACTTGTGGAGGAAATCCTCGTGGCAGCTGTCCCCGATGTCATCATCATTTAGCACGGTGTCTTTTATCTGCTCAGCGGGAGCGAAACAAATGAGTCGTTTAATAAAAAAGAGAATTGGTCTCAACAAAGACAAAAGTGCTGATGGGCACATTTGCAGGCACTGCGTTGAAAATGAAAATGCAAAAAAGCACCATTGTGCAAAAATGTAGGAAACAGCAAGATGGATTCCAGGGAGATTCTTTTGTGCTGCTTCTTTTTTTTCTGCTGCATTTGCATATTATAAGGAAGCAAATGTGTTGAATCACACTGGGTGGTAGTCTAGGCAGGGGGGAACCTGGGTAATTTAAACCTCTTGGAAATAGAAAATATTTGAACAAGTGAAATAATGAAAGAACTGAAAAGTTGGAGAAAGAATTCTTTTTTTTTTCTTCCAAAAAGTCATATGTGATTGTTTTCAATAGAGATATTCTTCACCGCGAATCACTGAAACTAGAAGCTATTAATTCTGCCACCGACAGGACAATGAATCAATCGTTACAGTTTCTAGTGGTTCGCTTGATCACTGGTGGCGATGTGTGCGTGTGCCGCTCACGTTTATGTCTTCCGGCACACTGTGCGACTTCATGGAGGCCAACAGCTCCATGATGGGGACGATCTCCAAGCTCAGCACCGAGATGATGTTGTAGCCCTGAAGTGGAGGGAAGAGGAAACGGTTAACTGTGAAGCACTGCAGAAAAACACTAAAAGACGGTTTACCGAGGAGACGGGCGATTTAAGGATTCAAACGGCGTGTTGTGCATTTCACTCGAGAGCCGGAAGCCTCAATCTCAAAGTGAAAAGACACCACTGACACTGTGGTGTTACCACTGAAGGGGATAGACAGAATAAAAGCCATTAGAGCTAGACTGATGAGTCAGCTGGATCCATATATGAAGTTTTACAAAGTTTGTCTTCCAGAGACCACTGTTGACTTTCATTGTAAAATGTTCTTCTCAGTACATATATTGGTAAGAACTGTGAGAGGTCCATGTTTTTAATTAGTTTTTTAACTCGTATTATGAATCAGTATTGGTTGGACTGTGAAAAAGCTTTGAGGTAATTTAGCAACTATTATAAAACACTCCTTAAAAAATGTTCGGTTAAAGGTACATTCAGTTGATTGAAAAGGATCAATACACATATAGCTGTACCAGAACTACAAATACTGATCTAGATCGGAAAATATCAAAGAAGAAGCAAGACGTAACAACATTATTATTCTGACCAGACACAATGCCAACTGTACTCGACAGGCTTTGGCACTCAATGGTACAGGTACATTAGTGGTGCCAAAAAGTAAGTGAGTACTGAGGATCAATATCCAGCCATGAGGCCAGTGAGCAGTGCTTGGCAGCAACGAGGACTCTTAGATACGTTTTCAAAGCAACACAAGATGAGTAACAGAGCATCAGAAAAGGCCGAACTGCGGGAGGATTAGGCAGGATAAAAAGAACCTCCTAAAATATTTACTGTGACGGGGGGTAGTAGTCTGATCAGAGGATCACCGTCCAAAAGGTAAAAGGGAGTAACAGGGATGTGCACACTGCTGGTTGACATTCAACCTAGTAGACCCACTTTTAACAGCAGTGTCTGCAACGGGGATGTATATATATATTTTTAGTGTTGTGCGTCATGTTATTTCCCCCCCCCCCCCCCCTATTATTACCTCCTCACTAGCGTTCTCTGTAGGAGCTCTCAGACCTAATTAGCTAATTTCAGTCCTCTGTGTTGGGAGGCTGCAACTTTATTATTCTGGCAATGTTGTTGCAATCCCAAATGGGTAAAACAGAGGTGATAGATTAGTTAATATCCATTTAAAATCAGGACCTACGGATGGATCAGGTCTTAAAGTAGGTTTATGGGTACAAAGGGGGAACAATTTGCCATCTCTCGTATCCAACATCGAGAAGTCGGGGGATCAGCAAGATCGGCGTGGGTACCTTCTGCATCCAAATGCGTCCCTTGCGGATGACGTGCTTCAGCCTCTCCACGCAGATGGTGTGCAGAGGCAGGTAGAAGGCCAGCTCCGTCTGCGGGAGGACGATGGACAAGGCGCACGTGTTCTTGTCCCCCTTCAGCTCGCCGTCGAAGATGAGCGACACGATGATGACGCCCTTCTCCGCCAGGACAAAGAACTTCACGTCCACGGCGCCGCACTCTGCGCTGCGCAGGATCTCCCCGTTGAGCGTGTGGTTGGCCAAAAACGTGACCTCTCCGTCGCTGAGGAACATCAGCTGGTCTCCCCTTGGCGTCCAGATGTGGCGCACCCGCGGCCCCAGGATGTTGTCCCAGTAGGCGAAGGTGGCAGCCAGCAGCGGGCATTCTCCCTCCACTGCTACCTCAGACTTCGCCACGGCGGGTGACTGGGGCGGACAGCCAGAGGACATTGGAGGGGCCTGGAGATGTCACCGTCTCCCCCGAGTGTCCCAGTGAATGATAAGACACCTACAGGAGACGACAGTTATCAGCTCTCGGTAAAGAGTAGATTCTACTTCTGTTCCAAACGCCTCTGAAAGCACAACGATCAAAATTTTTCAGCTCACGTAGTGAAAATAAATCCAATAAACCCAAAGGATTCAAGTGGAAATGAAAGTCATTTGTTTGGGATGTTGTTGGAGTCAGCTGATACTTTGTTAGCCAAAGTCAAAAGCAACTTCTCTTTTTCTGGCAATGTTGTGTTTGACAAACATGGAAGTTCGTTATTCAGTAAAAATGTCTCTTTTTACTTTTCAATACAGCTCTCTGCGTTATGCGTCTTACCTGGAAACGTACGGCGTATCAGACATATAGCGTCATGTAACGTTAAATCATAAATACAACTGCTACTCCACCGAATTTGCCAGCAACCCCTATTAATTTAAGATGTGTCGCTGTTTCGTCGACAGGTAGCTAACTAGCTCTGTCTATCCGCAACAAGCAATGTGCCCTTATACTGACAGCTTTTACAACCGAATATGGTTAAATTTGTTTTATGTTTAACGTTACACAACAACACGGCTCATAATTACGTATTGTAAACTCAAGTGACAATGCAGTAGTTGAACTAGCTTAAGCACAGTATCGGTGAAAAAATATAAATAAAGTAAGGCACCAATTTTTCGTATTTAGCTAACCAGTCAATAATGATTAGCAGGCTAACTCAGGGCAGCTCACTAACTGGCGTTAGCCGAACTAACACCGCCATGACTTACTTGTTCTTCACCTTTATGGTGGTGAATGGCCACACCGCAGCGTCTGTCAGAGGACGAGTTTTGGATTTTGCTGATATGTCCTCATTACATTGTTTTCTGTTAGCATGTAGCTCAACGCTTGAATAGTGGTTAGCCACCTGCAGTGTTATTGTCTTCGACACACTTCCTAGTACGTCAGCCCTACGTCACCGTTGACAGAGCTGCACAGCGACCTCTAGCGAGCGAAGCGCGGCAGTGGACAGTGAGTCAATGATGTCATATTTAGTCCGGGCGGCCACCTGCAGAAAATGAGTTGTTGGAAATGATTTACCTGGTCATACGAATGGATGTATCTGTGGGAAGAACACTTTGTATTTGCCTTTTTAATTACATCTTATGAGGGCACTGCGAGTCCAAATTAATAGCAACCCACTTCAGTCCTGGAGACCTACTGATTTTTTCCCCACCTTTTCCTTCCTCCATCTATATACCACTGTAAATAACATTCATGACAACTCTCATGAGTACCTGGCTGCAGACCTCCTCCAGGGGAACCATAACTGTGTAAACAGATTTTAACATGATTGTGTTATTTCCCTTGAGGATATATGTGATATTTTCCAATTTCACCGGGATTTTAAACACCCCCAGTCCTCCTTTACCATAAGGAACGTATCTCTTTCACACAACCATAAATACCTTCACATTTCTCAGCTTTATATTCATCTACACACTTGAGCTGACACCAAGTTACAATATTATTCCGAATAATCTCAGTAAGACACTTACGGGATGGCTGCCGCCGTTGGAAGTGGCTCATCAGAGTGAACGCTCCTGCAAGCAGTGAGTCCTAATTATGTCACACAATTACACCGACAGTTGGAAATTGGACACTCAGCTGTGATGCAATCCAAGACCCGTTTGATGGTGACCTGTCATTTTAGTAAATTAGCTTTCTTGCCTGGCAACCACAATGACGACAAGAGTTCACGAAGTCACTGCTCCCGCCTGTGGAGATATTTTATATCTCCTGTATATACATGTTAGGATTGATAACATTGTATGTAATATTATAGCAGCTTATGATCAGTCTCAACACAACTAATTAGTATATATTTCCACTTTGTTGTAAACTCTGTGTGACCGAACGCACTCTGGCTGAACAGGTGTATCTGGTTGACCCAGTGGGGTCAGCTCTTATCTAAATAGGGACCTATGTCCTGCATGCCTGTGTTCTGACCATCTCCATATATGGACTTATGTCTGGCATGCCTGTGCTAACCATTTTTCCCTGGAAGAATAAATAACTGACCCCCCCCCCCCCCCGAACACACACGCACACACACGCACACACACACACTTCTATCTGACGGGAGGGTATAAAGGCCTATAAAGGTTTTCCTCAGAGAATTGAAGAAATTCGTCAATCCAGCAAACTGTGCTTTTCTTCCCATGATTCATATCCAATAAAGAATTCTGAAAAATTGATCTTCATCTCCAACCTCATCTGTGACCAGTCTGTTCAAAGAAAATCAACTACCACACGCCCAAGAGATAGTTCCGCACATTACCCCTTTTGTAAAAAAATTTAAATAAAATGATGCTTTTATACCTCAGTTTTTGGACAAATTGAGTAAAGGTTGTGACGTGGGATGTTGGTGAGCTTCAGAAGTGCTGGAAGGCTTCATGTCAGTCTTTATGCTGTATAGGCTAAACCAGCTGCTAGCTGCATATTTAACGGACGGACATAAGAGTGGTTCCAATGTTCTCGTCCGACTCTCGGTAAGAAAGGGAGTAAGCTAAGCAAACTAGTCCTTTAAAATATTTTTTGTTGCCATTTCATTGATATTGGTGGGGCATAAGCGCATGGTTATGAAGTGACTGTGCTGCCCTTCAGCTATAGCCTGCTAATTACATTCAGACAGGATTTGAAGGGAGCGTTCCGCTGTCTCTGAATATTTAGGACTTATGAGATCTTCCCCTAAATAAAACGGAATATTATTTGACACATTCATATTCTTTCCATCACATCTTCCTGCCTTTCTTTCCCCTCCTTTTCTTTTTCCGAATGCTGACATTATTCCTTTTAATTTTGTGGAAATATTTGCCCAACATTTTCAGCTGTGTTTGCATCATTGCCCGCTCTTCCCTCTATGACTAAATTTGAGCCACATCATGAAGAACAAGTACTAAGTAAGAAGAACATACTAAGTCCTAGTTTTTCTTCTCCCGTACGGAGCTGCAGCAGCAGCAGCAGCAAACAGACTCAGTGTGTGGACGGTCAGCCAGCGAGTCAGCTTTAAAAAAAAAAAGTTGGCTCCTGCTGAAGTTTTCAAGGTCACTGACCGTCAATAGCCACTCCAAATTGCGTGGCTACCCCCTGGCCACCCTGCTGATGTGATTGCATTCTGTGAACAGCGCTGCAGCCTTGCTACTGCTACAGAGGCGATCGGCTTCGCATTACTCTATATTCCTCAGAGGCAAAAGGACCCATGGCAATTTTTGTAGAACTATTTTAATACATGTTTTTTAGTTCTCTTTTTTTGTGGTAACTTCCTCATGGTAGATTCTCCAAATCCTATATATCCAAATCCAAATACTATATATATATATATATATATATATATACAGTATATATATATAATACTAGTCTATTATCTCTGCCCCGATGAAAGTCAAAAGTGTATGGTCTTCATTTTTAACCGTAGTCACTCCAGATTCAAAGGACTTTCATGTACCTCATCATCTTGCTTTACATAAAAGTGCCTCAAGATCTTTTTTCTTTCCTGTTATAAATCTTTTCATCTTCAAAAGCACAGTCAGGATCCTGGGTCTCAATTCATGAGAAATTGATGAAGCTCTCATTGGCTTTTTGTATCTCTTTTGAATTTTCACAAATGCTATTTAGGAAACAATTACTTCCGTTGTTTGGGACGAGGATAAGATTAGAAAATATATATTTACCGCCTTATTGCCACCTGCCAGCCATCTGCTGTACAGTTTGCTGCTATGACGGCGTAACATGATGACATGGTGGAAAGAATACAAGACATATTAGATTTACCTATTCAGGCGTTTTTGCAATCAGACTCTCGAACCGCCCGCAGTCAGAACAGATCCAACCAATAACCAACTTACTGGGGCAGTTTTAGCACACTGTAATGGTGTTACTTTGTTCCTTGCAGGTTTTTCTCGCGCCGGAACCGAGGCTTGGACAATCATGCACGTCACCCACAATATCTGTGACTTTAAGTATCACTTTTGGACGTCTGTTACTTCCCACCTGCTTCAGTAGGTGCTAACCACAGTCTTTTTATTCACACATTTTGGATGTTGATCATTACACTGAATACTTACATGCTCAAAAACAACTCTCTGCCTACCCAATATCTTGTTTGGAAATGTAGGTTTCTTAATGTTGAAGTAAGACTTTCTCTCTAAACATTGCCGTAGGTATCTCCTACTACAGGCTTTTAAAGGAATAAAACATATTGGGAAATACACTTTGCTTTCTTGCCCAGAGTTAAGTGAGAAGATGGATACCACGGTTATATTTTGCTGGAGACGTTAGCTAAGCTAAAGATTGGATACGGGGAAACAGCAAGCCTGTCCAAGGCTTGAAAAAAATAACATCTTCCTACTAGCGCCCTTAAAGCTCACTGTGTTTGAAAAGAACCCTGCGTGCACATGTTGGCAACGTAAAGGTTGTACTGCCCCAGCCATCCAGAAGAGGTAGCAAGCTTTAAACATTGAATTAAAACTGTTCCCAGCATCAGCATGGCTGGTTGTTTCCTGCTTGGAGCTTCAGAATCAATATTACAACAGCGGACCCAAGTTCGACAGAATTCCGACAGGATCACAACCGCTTCAGAGCAACAAGTGTTTCAGTTTATCGAGTGGTCGTGTTAACTGTCGAATTTCAGCCGAAAGCTCGGTGGTTGCTCGCAGTAATTTACGTAAATGGTTGGCGTAGATAAGAAACACAGATAGGTATGCAGTTTGTGTTTTCAACAGCTGTGGCCTCCACGAGCAATGGCTGAGAGCCACCAATTAGTACGGTCACTCCTTAAACTGCAACACCGGCTCCAAGCTGTCAAACGCGTTGATCCCCGCTGGGACTGATCAAAAATACTTGTTGTTTGTAGCGGCCATTTTAAAACTCAATAAACTCAAAACTCGGAATCTGTTTATCTTGGTATTTGACGTCCTGGATACTTTGGCCACTAAATATTGGACCACATTTATTCTACACACTCACTAATTTGGTTAGGTTGCAATCGTGATCTTTGGCATTAATGCCCTCGCATAGCTTGACAAGCTGTTGCGCTCCGCCGTTCTTCTGTTGTCAAACTGCATGAGCACACTTACGTACGTCATCGTTTACAAACGATAAAAGGTGCTAGCCTGTTAAACAGGGAGCTTTCCAGGTGCTGGTAGGCAGATTTCCTTCAACCTTCGGACCATGCCAGGCTAGCTGTTATGCTAGGTTAAGCTAACCGTCTCCTGGCTTTGAACAACACAGTCATGATCTTCTCATCTAAGTGTGTTTAACCACCGTAGGGTGGCCGGGCTCAGCCTTAGAGATAGGGTAAGGAGCTCGGTCATCAGGAGGGAGCTTGGAGTAGAGCCGCTACTCCTTCGCGTCGAAAGGAGTCAGCTGAGGTGGTTCGGGCATCTAATTAGGATGCCTCCTGGACGTCTCCCACTGGAGGTTTTCCAGGCACGTCCAACTGGGAGGAGACCCCGGGGAAGACCTAGAACACACTGGAGGGATTATATGTCCCAGCTGGCCTGGGAACGCCTCGGGATCCCCCAGTATGAGCTGGAAAATGTTGTGGGGGAGAGGGAGGTCTGGGTCAGCCTGCTTGGCCTGCTGCCACCGTGACCCGACCCCGGATAAGCAGAGGAAAATGGATGGATGGATGAAATAACATTTTACAGAGAATTTTAGTTGCAGTCTTGAGGAACCTTAAAGATATATATTGTATATCAGTGTCACACTCCTCCAAACAACTCTAGTTTGTGTAGCGTGTGTAGCTCTTAACACTTTTCTGCATCTTTTGCCTTCCTTTTTAATGTAGACTCTTTTGACAGTAGAAATCTCTATTTTATATCTGTATCACTTTCCTCCGAGCTCATCATTCAGCTTGGAGGGCAGACTTTTCATGCAATGCCATTTCATTAATATCTGCCCCAAATGAGTGGGAGGTAAATCTGTCTGTGT